TGGACCCAGTCTTCTAGATTACTAATTCACCCTTCAGTTCAGCTTGAATCAGCATAGCATGGTGATTAAAAGCCTGAGTTCAAATCCTGGTTCAGCCATTTATTACAGTGTTGCTTTGAGTAAGTTAATTAAACTTTCAAGTCTTCAGTTTACTCATATGTAAAATGAGTATGCTAATATTATTGCCTACTTTAGAAGATTATAAAGATTAAATATGTTATGCATGAATGCTTAAAGGAGTATCTACAGCATAGTATCACTTACTATTGTTCAATCTATACATTCATTTTATTTTATTTGATTTGAAGATTTTTTATTTATTAGAGAGAGAGCACGCACATGGGCGGGGGGAGGGGCAGAGGGAGAGGGAGAAGGAGACTCCCCATGGAATAAGAAGCCCATCATGGGACTCAATCCCAGGACCCCGGGATCATGATCTAAGCCAAAAGCAGAGGCTCAACTGACTGAGCCCCCCAGGCACCCGTATATATTCATTTTAAAAATTTCAATAAATATATTAATTATTCATCTAACTGGTTTTTTTTTCATAATAACTTGGTTGTTTTATGAATGCAAGATCCTGTATTATTTTTCTCAAGGATAAAAAATATTTATGTTATAAAACTTGTTTTTGCTCTATGAACAATAACTTTGGGATTCAGTCTGTTTATTGATTGCAGTGGGTTCCTCTCTTTCATAGTAATAGCTTTTTAGGAACAGTTGGTGGGTTGTTTGAAAAATTTCATTTGCCTATCTTTGGTGCCGACTCAAAGACTTTATTTATTTATTTATTTACTGGAGATAGAGAGAGAGAGAGCTTGAAAATGATAGGGGGAGTCAGATGCTTAACCGCCAGAGCCACCCAGGAATCCTTGTGGTGCTCATTCTAATTCTGGGTGTTTGCTTTGCTGACTGTGGTGGGAAGGGGAGAAGCACACAATATCCTGCATGGCAAGGGACGCCGGTAGTTTACCTTCTGTGGGCGTGTGTGTGCGTGCACGTGTGTGTGTCTGTGTATGTGGTCTCCTTTCTCCTCACCACTGGTCAGCAGTCCCTTGGGATGATACCCTGTCTCCTTGACCCAAGCACCCCTACTTACAAAGAGCATCTGTCTGGGTTGGGGGTGAACATGTCCACCTGCTGATTCTCATTATCCTGCTTGACTTTTGTCATATACTTTGTCATCATCTAACATAATCTTAGTTATGGATCATTTATTTATAATTTGATTATTTGCCTCCATGAAAGCAAATCTCCAGGACCTAGTATGGTGTCTTGCACAGAGTAAATGATTTATGTCTTTATAGAATGACTAGATTAATGCCATTCTTTAGTTGCTTGCTATGATGAAAGTGCCTCTCTTTGTAGCTTTTGCCTCTTACCTTGAAGCCTCCCCAGCTCTTGCCCTGGTCCTACCCTGCACAGTTTTGGTTTACAGATCTACTGGCAATCAAATCCTACCTCCTTTATGTAATCCAGGAAGATCTCTGAATTGCTGGACCACTGACGCTCCCTTTTTTGTCTTGTGTAACTCTAACTAATTTTTAAAAATCTATTTCCTGTTATATCTAGGGATTTGTAGGGATAGAAGACATGCAGAGTGTGCTTTTAGAAGCTTGACAAACTGTGTTACTGATTTCCAGTGCTTATTTTAGTTGAAGCATGGATGTGATATTAAATTACATTGAATCTAATAGAGGGACCCTAACTCCCTTTGGCATTCTCTCTCTCTCTTTTTTAAAAAATATTTTATTTATTTATTTGACAGACAGAGATCTTAAGTAGGCAGAGAGGCAGGCAGAGAGAGAGAGAGAGAGAGAGGGATACGCAGGCTCCCTGCTGAGCAGAGAGCCTGATGCGGGGCTCAATCCCAGGACCCTGAGACCATGACCTGAACTGAAGGCAGAGGCCTAACACGTTGAGTCACCAAGGCGCCCTGGTATTCTCTTTTATAAATATTTTTAAAAATATAAAAATATTTCAAATATGCAGAAAGATACAGAGAACAATATAACAAATATTAATTAGTAATCATCCAGATTTCACAATTCCAACCATTTAGCAATATTTGCTTAAGATCTTTTTTTTACTAAATTAAATATCATTGTTGCAGCCTCCTTCGTACCATCTCATTCCATTCCTCTTCCAGTCTTTTCACTATCCTGAAGTTGATCGTGTCCCTCCTGCCTGTGTCCATGCTTTCTATACATGTTTTATAACCATATCTATGTTTTATAAACATGTATTATATGTTTATAGACATAAACATAATATTGTACTGTTTTATAGGATTTCAAATTGCAAATAAATGATACAGATTCTTTTAATTTTTCAGATTACCCCAAGAGAAAAATCTCACTTTGGTCAAATTTTGAATGCCTTTTCTGGCATTGCTAATTTTTCTTTTAAGAAAGGAATAGCAGGCCTCAGGCTAGAAGCCTGGAGCAGGCAGCCATAAGCATAATTAAATAATATTGCTTTATTTCCCATTATATTTATTTTGATGGTTCCTTCTACTTTTTAGCAAGTGTTGGTACCTTTCCAGTTATTGTAGTGATTTATTTATTTGTATATTTATCTGAGAGAAAGGGTGCATCCATGCCAGTGGGTGCGGAGGGGGCGAAAAGACAAAAGGAGAGGGAGAGAAAATATTGAGTAGGCTCCACACCCAGCGCTGAGCTCAATGTGGGGTTCATCTCATTGCTCTCAGATCATGACCTGAACAGAAATCAAGAGTCAGATGCCCCCAAATGACTGAGCCACCCAGGCACCCGTTTCCTTTTAAATTAAATGAGAAAAAAAAAGAAAAGAGTTGCTTGAAAGAAAAATATTAAGTAGATAATAGTATGGGACATACACAGACATGACAAAAAATTAGAGGAGTTTGTATTGAAATGGCTGAAATTTGATACACACTTGACCTCAAGGATAACGTTCAAGTTCCTTAATGAGACATGAGAAGCTGACCTTTGCTTCCTTTCTCAGTCCATTTACCACTATTACCTCACCTCCAGCACAAACAGCTTGGAGTTTGCTCCTTCCGTTCCTAGCTGAAGGGACCTTGACTATGGTAATCTCTCCTTTTATGGTATTTCCTGCACCCATCACCAACCCCCACCTCCATTTGACTCTGTTCATCCAGTCAGCCTCTACTGAAGCCCTCCCCCACTTAGTACCCATTACTGTACTGAACATACAGTTTTCCAATTCTAAATCCAAGGGTAGAATTTAGTTCCAGTATCATAGCATCATCATGGCCTGAACAGCTGTTCAAGGTGGGAAGAAAGGATGTTTCAGATAAAATCTGTCGTATAAGATGAAGATTGTCCTTGAAAAAAAAAATTATCTCATTTCTCATATGTTTGAAGTTTTAAAAATAGTTACGTTAATAGATCTAAATACCTGATCTTAATGATTTCTTTCAACACTGAGAGAATACTTTGTCATCTAGATTAGGGGTAAAAAAGGGACAGAGAAGGGAAAAATAAGGACCATGATGGGAAGTACCATGATGGGAAATGACAGGTTTTTTTATGTCATTTCAACATTACTCGGTGGTTTCTTGCTCCTTACTTAAGCTGATTTCATTAGAAAATGAGAGATCAAATCGAGCATTCTGAACATAACACATTTAAACGTTTGACGTTTTAAGGGCAAAAGCTCCTAAATAACTGTGTGGCCATTGAGATGTTGGAACAATTTTCCAGTTTCATGTTCCCCAGTGCATATAAATAAGTACAATAATACTAACAACAACAATAAAAACACAGCGCATAGCGAATGCTGTTTAGAAGTGTTCCATGTCTGCAGTCATGATGAACTAACTGCACTGACTTCTGTTCATTCATTCAAAAGTCTTATTCTGAAACCGACATTCACACTACATGATTCCAAAGCCCTCGCTGCACTTGGCCAGATGTAAATTGTCATATTAACAGAGGTGCAGACAATGCTTTCAAAACTACTGCTGTATTTGGGGAAAAGTTGAATTTTAGCATTTCTCCCTATGTATCTCGCGTGGCCAAAGCAGAAGGGAAGAGCTGTGCGGGGGGCTGGGGGAAGTGACTTCATACTTTTGATTACGGAATGTCATGTTTACCACTGTAAACGTTCAACCTTAAGTGAGAAAGCGGGTGGAGTGAGATCGCTCTCACGCCCTGCGTTTTGTATGTTACATCTTACCCACCAGCCAAACTTTCTCTATCAGTCTGAGTAGGTCAGCGGCGGAAATGCTTCCTGAAAGGGAAACGCAGGGTCGGGAGGCGGCATGTGCTGCCTTACCCGGTGTTGCCGTGGGAGTTACCTGAAGCACTCAAGCTCTTGCACCCAGAGAAAAAGCTTCTCGTTTCAATTCGGTCGTTTCCGTGGGGAATTGCAGCACGGGCAGGTCCTGGGTGTGGCGATGCCAACCGGGAACTCAGATCTCCGTCTTCCCGCTTCTGGCAAACCTTCCCAGCCCTCGACCGGCAAGTGACCCGCCCTCGAGACCAGCCTTCCGGGATCCCGGGGGTCGCTGGCGGACTGACCCCGCCGCCAAAGCAAACCTCTGGAGTGCAGAGTGCGCTTCTCCCCCATTCGTTCTGCGCCTGGAGGCGGATCCCCTTCCCTGCACATAAGTCCTTATATGCACCGGTTGCACCAGCCCGTCTTACTCCAACCCCACAAATAAATAGTGGGGGAGAGAGGCCCGTCGCTCTTTTTCCCCCCTCTGGATTTGTTCAGCGCTAAAGCAGCGAACCCTGCCGAAAAACCCCCTGATGCGATTGAGAGCCATTGTGCTGCAGTGCACGAATTGGACACACAAAAATAAAGCCCCTTTGCCCCTACGATAAGCGCGCCAGGGCTCAGGAACAGCTTTTCACATCCAACCAGATTAGCCTGCAAAAGCCTGGGCGGAAAGGGTGCGTGCCCCTCCCCCACCCAAGCTGGTGCAGAGGGACCGGGTCAGGAAGCGCGGCCTCTCCCGGGTTGGAGACCACGCCTCCTCCGCCTCCCCCCAACCTTCTTTACTCCTCCCAGGAAGCGGTGATAGACAGTTCTGTGTGGTTCTCCACCCCCATCCCTACCCCCCTCCCAGCAGAGTGGAGGAGTTGATGTGTCTCATTATAACAGCCAATGCAGCCGCCATCCACGCACAAGCAAAGAAGCATGTCCCATTTAAATACACCCACGCAGCCCCAGCGCCCTTAGCAGAGCAGGGCGCGCAGCCCACACGCACCGCGGCTCCGGGCTTGGAGATCCGCGCAGGTTGGGCTCCCGGACCCGGCGGACCGAAGAAGAGCGGAGGATAGGGATCGGGTGCTGTGGGGCCGGGGTGGGCGGGGGAGGCTGGGCCCCGGGCCTCTGGCTCTACACCCGCATGAGGACGCGAGTGAAATAGACCAAGGTGGAATTTCCAAGGGAGAAGCTTCAGGGTGGTTTTGGACCATTTCTCCCGCGAAGAAGTAGACATGGCGAGCGACTCTCCGGCTCGCAGCCTGGATGAAATCGATCTCTCGGCTCTGAGGGTGAGCAGAACATGTTTTCTGATTTCTTTCCAGTGGTTTGGGTCGGGGTTGATGGGCTCGGGGCGTAAACTGGGGCCGGCATCGGTGGGCAGAGGCAAATGCGACGTGGAGGGAACCTGGCTTCTCGTTATGATTCGGGGTCTGCTGAGGTGCTCTTGGCTAAGCCTCCACGCAGGGGCTGTGCGGTACGTGTCCTCCTTCGGTTGTGGCCAAGGCTCCCCCGAGAACCAGTGGAGTTAATGCCAGTCTCGTCCTAGACCGGTGTAATAGCCGTAAAAATGAAATGCAACGCTCGTGGTGTGTGTGTGTGTGTGTGTGTGTGTGTGCGCGCGCGCGCGCGCGCGCGGTATGCACACACGCCCCGGACGGTCACCTCGTGCCAAGGCGCGAGACCCCACTGTCCCTTTTTGCAAAAAGAATAACGGCAGCGTGAATAAAGGCACTGGCCACTCACTTTTTCCAGCTACCTGCAGGATGACATTGTGAGCCCGACTGTCCCCACGAAGCCGAAGCTGCCGCTCCAAGGGGACAGCTATTGCAATGCTGGTCTTGTAGATGGCATCTGCCTCCTCTACCCCCTTTCCGCCTTCCGCGCCCCGACTCCCTCTCAGCGCTCTCTTCTGTGCCAGTCTGCCACTCACCTTTATTTATGGTTTAACTTAGCCCTGCCTGTGCTTTCTGACTTGGTGCCTCTGACATTTCAGTTTTATGGCTGAACTTAAGCAGGTGAAAGGATGTGTTCTCAGATTTTCCCCAGTCAGACCGGAACTCCCGTGAGTGTGTGTGTGTGTGTGTGTGTGTGTGCGCGCGCGTTCATGTTCGCTCTGTGTCTGTGGCCAGTCCTTTGTAGAGAGCATCTACTTCCCTCCAGCCCCGCGGGTTTGCGTTTACCTTCACGTGAATTGCCTCAGACGCCTTTTCATTGTATTGACTAAGACATCACTGCTATAGAATCCATTTTGCTGTTGTTTTGAGATCAGAATCCCAGGAATTCCAGTGTAGCCTCGACGACTCCCCACCCCCACCCTCGACTCCCAGCACACTCTTTCGGGGAAGGGGGCAGAGCTTTCTTGCCATTTTAATTAGATGCTGCCTGCCGAAAAGGGGGTGAGGGGTGGGGATGGCGGCAGCAGCAGCGTTGGGGGGGGCGCTGAGAAGAATTGGATACCAATTTAAGGATGGCTTCTTCCTCTCCTTGAGCCAAGAATAAAATTTAAAAAAACAACCACATATATACTTGAAGCATGGGGGGCGGTTGAGACGGAATTGATGGTGTCTCTCCATACAGACACCCAGGATGGGTGAAGCTGGGAAGTTCACACGCCCTCCCGAGGCATACATTGTTAGACCGTTGCTAAATCTTGGGATTATAGACCTGAATCTTCATTACTTCTCCTGACACTGCCTCATTCTCCACGGTTATTTTAAAGAGCTACCTTTACAGTCAAAGTGGTACTTTTTCTTTAGTCTCATCAATCCTCTCTCCCTACACAGCTCCTTTTTAACTTCCCCTCCTCTTTTTTTATCCAAGAGGTGAGGTTTCTGCAAGGCAGTCCAGGGGTTGAGAAGGAACATAGATGCCATTTGAAATGGTTTTTTGATCATTGGGCAGCAAAAGCTCATTCATGTAGTATTACAGTAAGCTGTCTATTTCCCTGGCGCAGAAATGCCATATTCAGAACCCACTGCCCCCTGGGCAGCTGGGCGTGGGGGTTGGTAACAGGGTGGGTGCTTTGGCTAAGACTGTGGTTTCCTGCTTTACAGACTGTGTGTTCATCTGCCCTACTTTCTACGCTGGGAGTTGCTGCCAGCGGGTTAATCAGGTGGATGGATGGCCCAGACTACAGGGTAGAGGAGAGTGGCAAAGCCCAGTAGGGGGTGGGGTGGGGGGGGTAGGGGGAAGGAGTCTGAACAATGCGCAAGGCTTGTGGTTTTCCTGAGCTAGAATCTCGTCATTGCTCCTCTAATGGAAAGCTCTCCCATGCGATTTTTAAGTTGGGCTTGGTCAGAGGTGTCCCTTGTGGGCTTTTTCCTGGGGAAGGTTTTCTGAGATATGGAGCACAGAGCCTGCAGGCTCGTGAGCAACCACGAGTGCTCACCAGCCTGCCTGGAGTGTGATTCACACACAAGAGGCCTGTGCTCCAGAGATCTGTATTTTGAAAAGATATCTTTGCAGGCTTCACTGAAATCGCTCTCTGTGGCCTGGGCTTAGTGCTTTGCCTCTGTATTTCTGCCTGCAGGAGGTGTGTAAAGAGGGAGGGCCAAGGCCGGCTCTAGAGATGGGAACTGCTGGCTGGAAGACTTAAATGCAGATGTAGTGACAAATGCCTCCTGGATGCTGAGGGGTATGGCCAATCTTGTAGGGGGTGAGGTGTGCAGTCCACAGGCCATCTAGGTGATCTCCACAAACCAGAGGGCAGATAATGTCTGTCTTCCCAAATTAGGAGAGGTGGGTTTATCTAGATGAGAGGTCTCATTTGTTCCTAACCCCTCAGAAAAGCCTGCCTGCTGAGAACCTCGCAGGGAAAGCCTGACCCCTGAAATGCAGCCAAGGTCAGTGGCATCCAGGAGAATTTGCTGCAGCCTTAACCAGTCCCTTGCTGTTTCTATGGTTCTTTAATGTACACAATCAATGCTCTTTTTGTAAACCCTGAGCTCAGTGCATTAAAAGCAGATCCTGTCTGGAGAGGCCTTTATCCTTCTCACTTTGGGGGCTTATTGTTCTCAGCCAGTGATCCCAGACTGGACCCAGTCTAAATTTTCCCCAAATAGCAACAATGCATAATTTAAGCCAGAGCAACCAGTGACAGCACTGATCATTTAAATTATGCAAGATTTGGATGGTTTTAGAAAGTAAGATAAAACAGCATCCTCTTTGGTTAGAAAAGAGATGATCTGAATCCATTTTTATTAGTCCCAATTTTTAGAGCTCTGGAGATAAACTAAGTGTTGGAGGAAGGGGATGACTTCATAGACTCAGAGCTGGAAGAGAATTGGAGAACCCTTAGCCACTCCTTTCATTTAATACTAAGCTGAAGCCAGAGAGGTGTAGTTGTTGTCCAAGGTCACACAGCTCTGTCTTCCCTGGGGTGGGGGTGAGAGAGGTAAAAAGGGTGGTTTGGGGAGAAAAATCTTGGTTTCCTGACTTCTCACTCAGGGCTCTTTTCTCTAAGTCACACTGTCTGTGGCTGAATCAGAAATCAATAATACATTTTCTGCCTGAGCACAAAAAAATGGCAGAGAGGAATTATTTCACCAGAGTCATGGAATTGTATTTATCGAGACTAGAAAAACTGCTTCATGCAGGTAAGCTCCTAACACATAAAACTGTGGAGCAGTAAGTTACCTTTGGAATTCATCTTGTTCCAGCCTCCCCACCCCAGTTCTTCCCCTGCTGGCAAATGACGGTCTGAATCATCTAGGACAGATGGTTGTCCTGCATAGTACTCTCTCTCAGTTACCCATCTCCAGCTGAATTGGTCCCATGGGGTCAGTCTGGACATGACATTATTCAGATGTCTCTGCATGTGAGGTTTATAGAGTCCTATGTATGTTTTGCATAATCTATGTGGATACTCATATATAGTGTTATGGTTACAAACTACCCGTGTGGGTGTATGAAATGTGTGTATACATACATAGGCTACGGAAAACAATCTACTCATTCAAACTCAAGGCCTGAGTCATTCTCCCTTCAAGACATCACAGTATTAAAAGAAATGAAATTTGCCACCGGTATGCTTTATTACATATGAGGTGAGATCAGCCCAGAAAGCTTTTTGGGGATTGGCATATATCTGAGTCTGAGCACCTTGGCTGTCCTTAGTTTGGCCCACGGAGGCAGGCATTCAAGGCCAAGATTGGCTGCTGCTGACTTCACGCTCTCAGTTTCTGCCAGGACTCGCACTCACTTTTCTGTGTGAACAGAATTAGATGACCTCTGCTCGTCTTTCCCCTGCCCCTCACTGCCTTCTAGGCCCAGCTATTTCTTTGTCCCTTAAGACCTAGATTTAAGAACTGACTTCATCTGGAAGACTTGCGCACATCTTTCCTGCCACACTTTCTGTCCTGGTGTTATAAATGGCGTGGGGATTATTTTCTGCCTACTTAATGAACTCTGGCCTCATGAGGCTGGAGGTTAGGTCTTGCTCGTCTTGGAGTCTGTAATTGCAGTTAGTTGCATAAACAGATAAATGCACAAATTAGTGAGTAAGTGAATGGCGTGGACTGAGCACTGGGCTCTGTGTCCATGTCATAGTAGTTTCGTGACTCCGGGTAAGTCCTGTAACCATAATTCATTTAAAAATGGGAATGATCTCAACCGCTTGCTTCCTCATATGCTGGCTTCAACAATCAAAGTGTTTACGGCAATGCTGTGAAAACCGTACAGCACTACACAAATATACTGTTCCACGATTAAGTTGAATTTTATGGGAATCTTGATTCTATCATTTGATGCCAGTGATTCCACTGGCACTTAATTGAAAATGATCCTGAGAAAAAGATAACAGAAGGTCTGGCATCTTTCTAATAGCACCTTTTTTCTTATGTGTCAGGATGACCTTGGATGTTTCTTTGCGGGCCTGGGTTGACCTTTGCCCCAGGGTCAGCATTCATTACTTTTTTTTAAAAGATTTTATTTTTAAGTAATCTCTACATGGAGCTGAAACTCACAATCCTGAGATCAAGAGTCGCATGCTCTAAGGACTGAGCCAGCCAGGTGCCCCTAGTGTATTTCTAAACCGGTGTCAGGTATCAGCATTATTCATTAAAACTTTCTTCTTTTTTTCTTCTCTCTCTCTCTTTCTTTTTAAACTTTCCCCCCTCTTTATGGATTACCATAATTTAAGTAAAACAACATTTATTATGCCTGTGCCTTTTCAAAGTTTGTGTTTTGGGGAGGAGAGTGGGCACCTGAAATGATAGAATATTTGTCTTGTATTTAAAGCCTTCAGGTCAGAGGTCTCAGGGGGTTAAGAAATCTTAAAACATTAATTCCT